GCCTCAGGCCTCAGGGGCCGGGCGGGCGTCGGGCCCGCGGCTGCGTGAAGGTGTCTGCTGACAAACTCCTCTTGGATGTTTCTCAGTTAAACCTAAGTCCGTCTTAAAGCATTTCTTAGTGAAGATGTGGCTGTGACACAGACTTTAGGCCTGTGGCTTATGGGAAAAAAAACTGGTTATCCAAAAAAAAAAAAATTTACGTGTTGGGGAAAAATTCACACAGCACTCACGTCTGTGATTCAACCGTCAGAGTAATTCAGGTGACTCAAGAAGTGCGGCCTCAGGTGACATGAGAAGTACAGCCATTTTTCCTGGAAAAAACCCACCTCGCCGTGTTCGTTTTGGGCCTGTCAGCAACTCTGGGGTTCAGCAACTGTGGGGACGGTGTCCACGTTTCCTTGCCTCCCCAGCAGCGTTAGGGAGGATGGGAAATTCAGCCCCTGGCGTTGCAGTTGTGCAGAATTTCACGGTGCTGACCCATGCCGGTTGGCACCGCTGCTTTATTCTCTTTGAAGGTGTGAGAGCAAGACTTGCCAGCATCTCGTCATATTTTTGAGGTTTAGGGCAAATGGAGGAAAAAAAAATCTGAGAGAATGTGCAGAAATTAAAGTCTATGGCACAGGAAATATCTCTCAATCAGTTCTCCAGAATGTCTGCTTCAGTGTTGATTGAAAGTTACCCTTCAGTGGGGAGAATTTGCTTTGCACAGGCTAATTCTGAAGTACAGCAGCATTATGCTGTATTTTTGCCCTGGCACTGAATATCTACCCATGTCAGAGAGTCCGCACGGCGCTTCCTTCTACTGCTCTGTTTCACTCTACTTCAGACCTGCAGCTACGCAGAGAGCAAAGGACTTTATTTAAAAGCTGTATTTAAAACCCCACCCAGCTGCAATGAAACTCACCTGTGCCACAGAGCAAGCAGCCCCTATCAAACTATGCGAATTCCAAGTTTAAAAATTATTTTGAAATTATTTGATGCAAACTAACCAAGTTTGAAGTCCATATACACATGCCACATAGAAAGATATAAACCGGCTCGGAAGTAACTGCTGCCTAATGTTGATAGGAGATGGCAGGGACCCACTTGTGGTAATTCCAGAACTTGAAATTTCATCTTTTTTTTTTTTTCACACCTCCTTTTAAAACATTTATCCTTCAGAAGCGGTATATGTGCCCCTCTATAACTACAGTAAGTCACCAAACCAGTAATGCATCAAGCCCAGCACCGAAGATGTTTCAGATTTCTCCTGTCATGTGAAGAAGCTGTCCCAACCAACTGTAGTGGAACTGCAGCCGTAGAAACAGTTTATACACATTAGGAACTTGTTTATTTTGAGTTTTAAAAAACAAAGCCGATGAGTGTATATTAGGACAGTTTACCAAATCAACACCTGGTACGTTGTGACTGGAACAAGAAGGCATTTATTTCGAACTCTTCCCAGTATGGCTCTGAAGCCTTGAGCTGTGTTTTAGCACCTGGTCATTAAAACTGCAGCACAGGAAGTTGTGCAATGAGCTGTTTGGTGCATACGGAGCCCTGGTTTCCTACAGACACAAGTAGTGTGCTCCTACACCTTCCCACTGTGATGACTTCAGTAAATCTAAAAAAGATTTACTCAAGTTTTAGGGAGATACCTAGCTGGTCCCATCCTGCCCTGCAGTCCTACCTCTCCCTTTCAGCCCTCAGCATACCTCCCTGTTCTCTGCCGAATCCAGTAGAAACTGGCCAGCGGATTACACCTTTATTAAGGAGGGCTGAAGGACACATACAGCGTTCACAGACAACATGGATTTACAAGGCAGGCGATGGCAGCGGCTCCAGCGGGTCAGAGGTGCTGAACAGGAGGAACCCAGAGAAGGTGGTATCATCATCCGCGTCTGCAAACAGCCCGTTGAAAGTCTCTCCTTGGTGAGCCTGCACCCACACCTCATCTCCTCTCTGTAGCTCGAGGATGGTGGCTCCCGAGGCCTGGTCCTCCCCACTCTGGTACCTGTCCACCGTGTGCAGCATCTTGATGCCATTTTTAACTAGAGCTACTCTGACATTCCTTGAATAGACAGTGATGTGGTAGGTGAAATAGTAAACACCGGGGTATTTGCAGGTGAATTTGCCAGTACCTGGGTTGTAGTCATTGAGACCATTATACAGCACCTTGTCAAATTTGATTGGGCGATTCGGGGCAGGAAATTTGGTGGAGGCTGTAAGGCCGACACTGAAAGCACTCCTTGGCAAGACTGCTGGGGCACCTACGTTCCCCTTATCTCCTCTGTCTCCTTTAAAGCCTTTTTCCCCCTGAACTCCTGGGTTACCCTGTGGCCCCAGATCTCCAGTATTACCTTTAGGACCTGGATTACCAGTTGGGCCAATTGGCCCTGGGAAACCAACTTTTCCAGGATGGCCAATTTCACCCTTTGTCCCTTTTGGACCTATGGGCCCAATGTCTCCTTTTAATCCCTTTTGTCCTTGCAGTCCCAGCTCTCCCTTCTGACCTTTGTAACCCACTGACCCTATAATTCCTTTTGGTCCCAGTTTCCCAGGTCGTCCTCTTTCTCCTTTATCTCCTTTGTTCCCCTTCTCTTCAACAGTCCCATTGGCTCCTAAATGGAAGAACAAACAAGACATCTTGTGATCATCCACTGGATTAGTGAGGCACAGCATGAGTGTCATCACAAAGACATACATATATAGGTGTGTGTCACCACTGTACATACTGTGCTCACTGTACATGAAGTGCAGGATGAGCATAACATCCGAAGAACCTGCTATGGTGTTAGAAAACGGGTGCCCTGGCTGAGAGCATCAAGAATAAGCTCCAAGAAAGGAAGGTGTGCTTTGTCTCTCAGGATGTGAGTACTGAGAGCTCACGTCATCTCAGGCAGAAGCAGCTTCTGTCCACACGCTTATTTTCAGCCTTTGGTATACAAAACGGGGGAGATGATTCGCACTTTAATCAGAGGAAGGTTCTATTTGGACAACAACCAGAACTTGCTTGCCATGTGTTTCTGTAATTCCTACATGATGAAACTTTGCTTGGGTTACCTAAATTGCTACTGAAGTGCAACTAAAGGCTTTTGTCCTTGTTACTTGCTATGACATGCTCCATGTATCCTTCATCCTCTCTTGGGCTGAAACTCAATCCTCTGGTTGCTGCACAAGGGTTTGAAGGTGAGGGGCGCGTGATGTAAAGGGCATGTTAACAGTCGATAGACAAAACATACCATACTGATAATATACTCTATCAATCAGGAAAGCAGCTGATAATTTCTGCATAAGAGCCTCTGACTTCTGATGTCAGGAATAATGTTGTATTGACAGTTTACTGTTCCCAGTTTACAATTAAGTGTAATTAACAGCAGCAATGAACTGAAAACAGGTGAGATGGAATGGTGAGCCTCTGGGAAAAGCAGCACAGATTCATCAGCACAAGGAAACAAGGTAGCTTTGATGACTTTAAACATTTGTGGCTTCATGTCACAGGTTCCTTCCAGGACTTGGGTCATTTTTAATAGACTGGTGAAAAATGTGAGTGGTGTAGAGCAACTTGTAATTACTCCCATGCAATGCATATACTGTATGCTATTTCTCAGGGTCAGCTTCAGGATTTTGGAGCACCTGGGCACTTTTTTTGGCAGGCTTCCATGCTTTTGGGTATATACTTTTTTTGTGTGCAATTACACTAATGATGCACAAGTCCAGCATCCCAGTTATTGAATTTGTGCAGAATAATGTGATGCCACTTGCACAATTCCTGACTCCCTGCTTTTATGCACAAGTCACTCTGCACATGTACATCCCTCTGACACAGGAGACATCCTGCATGTGCATAGGTTGGCTAAACAGGTTAAGTATATGGGATCTACTGTATTTTTGGGTGTATACTTGTGTGTTCTATAACCTCTTTGAAAAGAACCTTTCCCTGAAGCTGCATATGTAGCTACAGGAGCCTTATTTTCCTGAAGTAGCTGCAGATGCGGTGTCTTCCTCAACAGCTGACAAAAGGATCAGCAATGGGAAAGGTAGGATAACAGGCTGAGTGAACAAATTGCAGGGCGTCAGAGGCAGCAGTATAATTGGAGGTGGCAAATTCCTCTTGTATGGTCAGCATATGTGTGCAGCCTCTACTTCTTCTGGAAAAAGGTTTTTCAACCTTTATGATACTTTCACTACAGCTAGAATTTAGAGCACGTCCAGTGCTCACCAACACAAGGGCAGCAGTTGATAGACATAAGATAAGTAGAAACACCACTTCTCTGACCTTGTTCACCTTTCTCCCCATTTGCACCATCTTTTCCTGGACTGCCAGGAAGTCCTGTTTCACCTAGTACAGAAAAGAAAAACACATTTTCATTAAGCAATTAAATTACCAGAAAACTTGGGGTGAATCCTTTTCTAATCCTTCCTCTTCAAGCCTGGCTAAACAGTAATGTAAAGAGCAGTCTTATTCCTGATTTTCGCAGGTGCCACTGCTAGTACATTTATGCTATGGAGAGATTGACGGAGAACACAGAAGCTCTGCTTGAGGAAGGTGCTTTTTTGAGACAGAGGGAAACCTTGGCATAAAGAGTTGGCCTACTGAGATACGTAGAGGAGGTATGCCCTAATCAGGACCACCAATGCAAAAACCTCTTGTCCTGCTGTTGCCTCCATCCATGGAAGATACCAGCAGGAAAAGGAGTGAGGAAGCCACATTCAACAAGAAGCTTTGCAGGAACAGGAAGCCTGGTAGTGAAACAGCAATAAACTCCCCTCTCAGGAAGAGACATCTGAAGGGGTTTGGCCAGTGGCAATGAAACCTTACAGTGGAATAATATCACCTGTAGATCTGAGGAAGGCATTCACACTCTTGATCCCTGTATCTAACAATACATGGACTTTCTACTGCTCTAAAAAGAGCGATAATAGAAGTTATTTTTGTAGTAACATCAGAGGTGACCAGGAGGTGGGTGATCAAATACTTGGATTTGCATCCAGAATGCAACACACAAAAAAAGAGTTTGGAGTTTGGATGTAACTATATACCAAGAGTAGCTCTCTGGCCATACAAACTGGAGAACTGTTCTTTAGCAGTTTTCTGCACGATGGGCACAAGTCCAGCATCTGCTGAAATTTCACTGACTTGGTAGGAAACAAAACCAAGTCTCATGTATTTAACTGCAAAGAAGTGGCCTGATGCCACACGATAGCTGACCTAACATAAAGCCTGCTGGGGAAAAGTTCCCCCCACAAATTTTGTGAACAAATCTGAAGCAGCAGATTTGCACTTGTCCTCTGTTTTGCATTCTAGGGCTGTGACACTTCAGATGGAGTGTTATATGTCCACATGCCCACAAATTTATCACCTTGTGCAACCCTGGCCTTGATATTCCAGCATGGATGCAAGGGTCATTGTTACCCTGGGACTTAGAGTACTATGGGAATTATTAGCTGTAGGATGCTGTGAAGATTAACTCTGTCTTCAGTATCATAAACAAATCCCTATTATATCCTGTTAGAGCCAACATGAATCCTACACATTTTCCATAGCCTCCATTCCTGAACTTCCCTCTAATGGGCCTTGAGTTACAGCAAGAAGGCACACTCCGAAGCAAGTCCTGCAAATGTAAAATTTATGTAAGAAAGAGAAGTCTTACCACTGTACACTTCTTATTAGAGTGAACAAGGTATTAGTTGGTGTTTGGTTATTTTTTTACTGGGCTTGAAGCTCTTTACAGAAATATAGTTGCTATCTTAGACATGTAGGAGTGGGTTTACAGGCTTTAAAAATTCCAAATAGACGTGAAAATATTCCTCAGACAGAAAGTAAGGTCTTTCTTCTTTTATTTTTCTCCCATGGACTTGACCTCTCCATAGCATAAGCTATCTTGCTGTCACTATTCGGTCTTTCTTTATATTTCCTTCTTCAAACAAGTAAATGACAAATGTCTGAAATGTTCTCTGACGGCTAGGCAGAATAATCCCATTAATGCAGAGTGACCACAGACAACTTCGGGAATTTATGGCATTGCATTTGATACATGAAATCATTTATTCTTAACACAGTACCTGTATCTCCCTTGTCGCCTTTTGAACCATCACGTCCATCACGACCAGGTATGCCATTGTGCCCAGGATTGCCAGGGATGCCAGGATACCCCTGGGTACAGACGTCCTGTTTTTGTGTTTCTGCTTTGCTGACTACAATAGCCAGCAGTATAATCCAGCTTTTCATTCTTTAGATGGTTGTACAATTTTGGCTGAAAATTCTGAGAAAGAAAAAGTACATCTACCTAAGTCTACTTGAGGAGGAGATGCAGGGCAGGGGAAGAAGGAAAAAAAGGAAATGGGTTTTCACCACGTCTATTGTTTCGTTTTGCTTTATTTATGGGTCTCTATATAGCATTAAGTACAGTCCTGGAGACTACTGAGTGCTGTTTCAAATAATAATTTAATCATAGAATCACAGAATGGTTTGGGTTGGAAGGGACCTTAAAGACCATCGAGTTCCAACCCCCCTGCCATGGGCAGGGACACCTTCCACTAGACCAGGTTGCTCAAAGCCTCATCCAGCCTGGCCTGGAACACTTCCAGAGATGGGGCATCCACAGCTTCTCTGGGCAACCTGTACCAGTGCCTCACCACCCTCTCCATGCAGAATTTTTTCCTGATGACCAATCTAAACCTCCCCACTTTCAATTTAAACCCATTACCCCTTGTCCTGTCACTACAGGCCCTTGTAAAAAGGCCCCCCCAGCTTCCTTGTAGCCCCTTCAGGTACTGGAAGGGGCTATAAGGTCTCCCCGGAGCCTTCTCTTCTCCAGGCTGAACAAGCCCAACTCTCTCAGCCTGTCCCCATAGCAGAGGTGCTCCAGCCCTCTGAGCATCTTCGTGGCCTCCTCTGGACTCACTCCAACCGGTTGATATCCTTCTGATGTTGTGGGTTCCACAGCTGGACACAGCACTCCAGGTGGGGTCTCACCAGAGCAGAGTAGAGGGAGAGAAACCCCTCCCTTGACCTGCTGGCCATGCTTCTCCTGATGCAGCCCAGAATACGGCTGGCAGCGCAGAAAGGTGTCATTATGAATTTGAAGCATTAATTCAGCTTTACACAATTTAAAATATTCTCTAATTTCCTGTGATTTAGAGCAGCAGGTTCTGTTTCACATTTTTTAATGCAGTCTGACTTGTGAAAATAAGTGGTTCTGCAAAGGGAAGCTTTGGTGGAGGTAGATATTGAGCGCAAAGGCGCAAAAGCTCTGTGAGGTTTAGAGCTACCCTTGATGTCCTCAGGATCTAGCCAGTGAACAAGAAAACAACAGCACAATGCATCCCATAGAGTTTCACACTTAAACCATGAGTGCATTGACAAAGTCCAGATTTTAAGATCATAATAAGAAGGCAGCTCAGGCAAAAGTGATCACCCTTTTTCTTCTCTGCCTCGCCTAGCAATTACAGCAAGGAACACAGTTGCAGCAGCTCTGTGCTGAAGAACTTCCAGTGACTTGTCTTACTCCAACCAAAACCATGAAACCCCAGTGTCTGGCAAGTTACAAGGAAGTGTGCTAATAATAACGTTGTTGGTGTCCTAAGCCCAAACTGACAGCCAAAATGTCAGGTCTTGGTGGGTCATTCAGGTATGACCAGTGATCCTGCATTCATACACAAGGATTCAAGCAATGCCCAGTTTGTCTGAGCTGTAGTTTTACTTACATAACGTATAGGCATTCTCCATGTTCAGAAATATCTTTGCAAACTCCTCTAGCCAGAACAGTGCCCAAAGAGGAACTATTTCTTGGCCATTGCTGCCCTTTAGAGCTATGCAGAAGCCTGTCTGTATCTTCCACCTTCCTATTTCCTATTTCAAAGACTTTCTACCAAATGGCACCTCATGCATTTGGAGTCTGCAAGGAAACTCTTCTCTCTGATCTCCAACTGATCTAACAGCTTCTTAAGGGAAAAATCATGTAATTGAGCCCGTCAGACAGCTCATAACCAAGAAGAAGCAGAGGTCTTAATGCCCACTTCTCCATCCAGCTTTCTCCCTGCACCTGCTCCTGACTGCACAGGAGCCTCTCATCTCCCAGGAGCTGGCTCTGGTGCCACAGGAGGTGAGCTAGCACAAGTCACCCCCACAGTTCAGCACAAAGCAAGCATCTTTTTGTCTTTTTTTTCTTTCACTGGAGTTACTCATCTGCTAGTTTGATAAGTTGAATGATCTCAGGAGCAGTCAGAGCTGGAGAGAGCAAGATGAGAGCAAAGACATGAGGGATCAAGTAAGAGAGAGAGGGTTTGGGTTTTTTTTGTTCTCCCCGCTCATGTAACTATGCTACTTAAAGACCAGCTTATATTTATCCTTTCACTAGAGTGCCCCTCCTATATAATGTCTTTTAATATAGGCCCACCAAAATACATTAATATTTAATTCTGGACACAACTGGTTCAAAGTTACTGTAAGAGCAATTAATGGGAAGAGATTAGACTGAAGAACAAAAACCAAATAGCAAAAAAATCAATGGCCATTTTATTTGGAATTAATATTCATAAATGTCTAATGCACAGAAGCTTGGACTATATAGGTTAAGGACTTACCCAGGTAAAATAATAGGATGAATAAATTTTACATAATTGACTTCTGAATTGGTTCTTTCATTAATGAGAACTCAACAGTAAGATCAGTATTCCTTTTGAAATACTGACTAGCATTGACTAAAACAAAGTCTTCTGTTTAATCTCTTCACCACCATTTCTCAGTCTTGTGAAACAATGCACACAAATACCATGTAGAGAGAGACTAGTATGTTCTCAATTACACCATTAGCAATGTTCGATCTAAATATTCTTTAACATAATTTATAGAGGAAGACCTTAATTTTGGGAAACATTCCTTAATCTTTTTATTCTGCCTTCAGAAAACTTCCCCTTTTTGTAACAGTTATGGGAAATGTGATTTATGGTACCTTTGCTGATGGTCTACAGAGAGATTTTTCATCACCCACCAGCAAAACTCCATTTTGGCTGCTGCTGGTTGTTGGCACTAACGGAAGTTGAAAATCTATTAAATGTTTGCTACTTCTGAGCTATATAAACATTTGTTGCCTTAGTCAACGGACTCCAGAGGAGTGCAAGAGGAAGAAGCACTCTATGTGACACTGTTAGGATATGATGCACCCCATGGAGAAGTCTGTTAGTCGTTATCCACTGTCAGAAAATCCCATTCCCAGTTGTCTGAGTGTTTCTTGCCTAAGGAATATAGAGATTGACTCCCATACATGCACTCCTCTCCACAAGCTGACAACATCAATATCATCATCATCCATCATCGTGATCACCACCATCATCACCTATATAGGATCTTTGGTCTTACCTCATTCACTTCGTACTCGCAGTGTTCTTGGGCATCTTTAGCCAGAGTAGGAAAGCTTCCCGTAAAGGAATGCACGCTTCAAATATGTGCCTTCAGGACAAAGCACTTGTTTGGTCACTCAGTTCTCAAAGGTCAGTGATTTAATTTTGAGAGCTGTTCAATAATTAAAACAGAGGTTTAAACTGGAGTCTTCCTATTTATTCCAATATTATGCTGAAGTGCTCTGTACTTTGGCTTTTACCACTCTTACGTGAAAGAAAATTGTTAAAATGGATTAATAAGGCTTTGATTTGCCTGCTCCATTGTACAGTTACATTACAGAAACGTTAGCCTTTGACAGGTTGGTTGGTTTGCAGGATGGAAGGCATGTCTCACAGCATTACTGCGCTGCAAAAACATGTCATAAAGTTAGTTTCTGTATCAAGCAATTTACAGTGGAATTAAGGACAAAAATAGTATGGAGATGAAAAATAACAATGCTGTGAACGTGGCGTTACAAATATTAGGTGATTATGGGAAAGAAGTGACAAGGCTGAATTAATGCAAATAAAATGAATGACAAAGAGAGCATTTGATGTATAATTAGCAGGCTTTTATCTAGCCATTCAAGCATCAGTCAAAGCTATTGTGCTCCTAAATTATATATTATTCGTAACTAAATTTGAAGAAGCCATAACTTGATGGCTAACTGTGTCTTCTTGAAACTACTGAAACTGCTGCTAAGGACTAGTGGAAGTAAAGTCACCGAGCGTATCATCAACTCCTTAAATCGTGAACAGTGAAGGGTAAAACCAAGAGTAACGGGAGTTAATGTGTTATGGGAAGTGGCCTCAGCTCACCCCTGTGGGTGCAAGGGACTGAAAACACCGTGTCGGAGGGGGTTCCCGCACTGCGAAGCTGTGCCAGCCGCGCTCTTACCGAGCAGGGCACCCGCAGCTCAGCTGAGCCATGAAGTTTTCACCGAGGTCTCCACCACCACCCTGTGGTAACAAGGGAGCATTGCAAGCGTTGTGGTGCCCGGGTTTGTATCTGGGACATGGTACCGACGTGCTCTGAGAAGGAAGGGCGATGTGCAGCGATTAGCTGCTCCACTTGAATGAGCTTCTGGAGCCAAATCAGCCTGGCTGCTGTGCTAATTGAGAGTAAATGAGAGCCACGACAAACAGTCCTTTTCTCTTGACCTGTTAGGCACCATCTGACATTTTCTAAGGTTGCTTAGCCTCGGCCTCCTCTCACACTTAGAATCACAGAATGGTTTGGGTTGGAAGGGACCTTAAAGATAATCCAGTTCCAACCCCCCTGCCATGGGCAGGGACACCTTCCACTAGACCAGGTTGCTCAACGCCTCATCCAGCCTGGCCTTGAATACTTCCAGGGATGGGGCATCCACAGCTTCTCTGAGCAACCTGTGCCAGTGCTTCACCACATTCTCAGTGAAGGGTTTCTTCCTCATGTCCAGTATAAATCTCCCCTCTTTCAATTTAAACCCGTTACCCCTTGTCCTGTCACTACAGGCCCTTGTAAAAAGTTCCCCCCAGCTTCCTTGTAGCCCCTTCGGGTACTGGAAGGGGCTATAAGGTCTCCCCGGAGCCTTCTCTTCTCCAGGCTGAACAAGCCCAACTCTCTCAGCCTGTCCCCATAGCAGAGGTGCTCCAGCCCTCTGAGCATCTTTGTGGCCTCCTCTGGACTCGCTCCAATCCATCTATATCCTTCTGACGCTGAGGGCTCAACCCTTTCAAAAGGTTTTGGTTTTGTTCCAAAGAAAATATAATTTAATCCTCCTTACCTGAACTGCAGCACTTAAGTCACTATCCGCTATTAGCAGGAGCTTTAATACAGAAGCTGCATTTGCATTACTTGCAAGGAGT